CTTTTGGGGATATTCACTATCAGCAGGTACTTTGCCTTCATTCTGTGTTACTCTAGCATCTACTGCTCTTTTCAGGGTGTTTGTTTTTTCTATTATCTGCTTATAAACTGTTTTGAGAAAACTGTGAAAGTTACCCCATTGCCAAGTCTCTATGTTCTAATTCCCACTGCCTGGATTTCACAGTTGTTAGTAGTCCAAAGTGCTTGGCAAGTTAGGTGGAAGACGTGTCAGTCATTCAGCCCCATTTTCCCTGGTCTCTGCACTTGCTGATGGCTGTGATTCCGTAGGGACAGGGCTTGGTGGCAAATAAAGAACAGTCTTCTTAGGGGAATATATTGCCGCCTTAGGGTGAAGGAAGGCAATTTTGGGTGGAAAAAGCCTCTCTGGTGATTTGGATTGACATCCTTCCTTTTCTGTTCATTGAGAATCACTGATGCAGAGAGAGGGAAAGTGTAAGGAGTCCTCCCACTGCTGCTCAGGTGTACTTCCACTTTGGGAGGGTGTCTGGTAGGCAGTGTCTGACCTCTCTTTTATTCTCTGGTAGGGAAACCCAGCTCCCCTGTATTCTGGACACTTCATGATGAGAACTCATCTAACAGCTTACCTGATCTTGCCCACACTTGGTAGTGTGCGTTGATTTATATATAATTATGTTTTTGTATCATTTAATGCTATATCTAGTACTTTCAGATGATTATAACTAAAATACTGAAACACATTACAAATTCATATGGAAAGCTCAAACACTGTCTGGTTAAAAAACAGATTATCTGGCAAATCTAGCTGCCTTTGTGTCTCTGATTCTTATTTTTATGGCCCTTTAGTAAACTTTAGAAACTGTGACAAATCCTGCGTTTTAATTCTTGATGGTTAACTTCAACACGGAAAATAGTAGTACACAGTTATTTGTCAGTGACATGCTCTAGCCACTGTTTACATCTACTTTTTCAACGGGCCGCATCCAAGGAGGGTCCTCTAAACTGCAGTCACTAATTATTTACCTAATCCCAGAGGAACTATATGAACTTAATAAAATAAACAAAATAATGATATATGTAGCAGTTTATTGCCACTGGTGCTTTTCATCAAGCTAAGTGACAGATGCTACACCAGAAGGTGGCACCAAAGAAACCCAAAGAAGGAGAGAGATGACAGAGAAATATATAAATTTGTATATCTTAGCGTAAGAGGTATAGCCTTAGGGTGAGGCAGGCATGAACTTAGGTTGGGGTGTGTGTGTGTTTGTGTGTGTGTGTGTGTGTTCTATCCTCCTATTTGAACAGGCAAAGGAATGAATTGCACTACTGCATCAATCTCAACTTTACATTTTAACCACTTATAATTACAAACTCCTACTTCTGGTTTCTTCCTTCTTTCCTCTTTCTTCTTATTTCCTCACCTCCATTCCTTTTCAACGTCAGGTGCATGGTATTTCTCATCGACACCTCTTGCATTACAATAACACAAACACAGTCCCATACACTCAAACAAATGCACCTCCAGGGTGTGCCCTGCTCCTGGCACAGTAAGGCAGAGGTGGGAACCAGGTGACAGAAAGACTCTCTCGCCCTGTTTTCCTGGTGCTCCAATTCATTTGTACATTAAAGGTTCTGAAAGGGTTGGAACATTAAACCAAATGAACCTTGCTCAATAAATCTAAAAAGTAATTAATTTTCATATAATACAAAAGAATACCTTTAGGTGCCAACACCACAATTAGATTGTGTTATAAAAACACAGTGATGGAAAGTTTTGACTTCTAGTCAATAAAATGAATTGGCATTAAACTATATTCCTTTTAAAGACGAACAAACAAGGACAGTGACAGTTAAATACTGTCCATAGAATTCACAGATAAAGTGACAGAATCTGCTTCTAAGTTATGTGACATCATTCTCCTTCCTGGGACTTGGAATGCCTATGAGCTCCCTGCTCCACTCCCCCCTCCCCATATATACATCCACAAGTGAATGTATTCAAAAGCATCTATATAGAACTTTCCTTACATGTTTTGAGAGAAGAAAATGAAAAATAAATGCCACAATTTCTGACCAGGAGCTCACACCCTAGGGTAGACAGACATACAGAAATGCCTGGTTTCAAGCCAGATATGTTCTGAGAAAGCCCACAGAAAAGCAGAACAAACTCTACAGAATCTTGGGAAGATTTTCCAGAGAAGCTGGCTGTAAAAGTCTGGACAGGTGTTCTGCAGGCAGTGAAGAGGTGAATTTTAGGCAAAGGGATCGGCAGATGTAAAAAATGTTGCAGGAAGGGCACGGTTTGTGTGGGGCCTAGGGGAGTGAGTCTGTGTGGTTTCCTGTGAGAGATGTGGTATTGAGAGAGGATAGGCCATTATGCCAGGTTTAGGAGTTTGAACTTGAGCCATGGTCTATAAGGCAATGCATGGTTTTTAACAAATGTCTTCTATGAGTAGGTTGGGGTTTTTAAAAAATGACGTGGCTCACCATTTGGGGTGGAAAGAGGCTGGGGAGCCTGCTCGTGGACCACTGCCATGGACCAGTGACTGCTGAAAGCAGAGGAAAGGTCTGCCGGAGAAGTGGGAGATGGACTTGCCAGGCAGAGTGACTGCTTCAGCAGGGACAGAGAGCAGGAGGGGCCAGGGATCATCCTGAGGCTCCTAGCTAAATTCATACATAGGGTGGGTCATGAACCAAAGGAAGTTTCTATGAGGAGCTGGCTTGGAATGGGGAAGGTGATACATTCCATTTGAAATGTGTGGAACCTCCCATACCGACTGAACCTGTAACAAAGACAGCCAAGGGACCTTCATAAATGTAGGTAGAGATGAACACAACGTCTAGAGCCAGAGATTGGGCCACCAGCAACGTGAACTCAGGAGATTCCATGTGAATGGATGAAATTACTCCGCATATAGTGGAGGCACAAGAGAAAAAATTCACCTAATTCTGGGGAATTTCAGTATTTGCAGGTAGTACAAGGAAGGTAAAAAAGGACTGCAACCCAGCAATCAGGGATGTATGTGCAGGGAGAACTGGAGGGTGCATCTGTGGGACCTGGGGAAGACAGCGTCGTCTACACACAGCGTGGAGCAGGGACGCTGGAGGAGGCGGGCAGGGCAGCCCTGGCTGGGGTTGTTCCCCCTCAGCACAGGAGCGGGGCAGGAGCTAGAGGGCCGATTCCTCCCAGGAGTATCTGGGAAGTGCGGGGTTGATGGAAGCGACTGAAATAACTACTGCGGATGCGGCAGCAGGGGGAGGCCGGTGAAGGAGGGTTGGTTGGTTGGTTTGTTCAAGCTTAGGGGGAAGCAGCCAATGAAGAAGCAAGATGGAGGCTACAGGAAGGAAGGGAGGGAGGGAGAGAAAGATGAAACCAAGGAAAAAAGAAAGAGGGAGAAAGAGAAAAAGAGGAAGGAAGGGAGGGAGAAAGGGAGGGAGGGAAAGAGGAAGGAGGGCGTTACAGCCGATAAGCTGTGTGGCGGAGGGGACGGG